TTTTAATCTAATAACATCAAAAACTAAAATGCAATAAAAATCTCAATTTTGCTAAAATATTTTCAGAATCTGATTTTTCTAGCAATCAACCCATATATTCATATTTATATATTTTAATTAAAGATGATATTAATATTTATAACTATGGCAGATCATAAATATTCCTAATATTAATTAATCAACTAACTGAATTTTAATTTGTAAAAAATATTTATATTTAAATTAAATAATTAACAATTATTTATTATAAATTAAAATTTTAAAATTTGAAAAAAAAATTAAAATTCATGATAATACTATATAAATAAATATACTTAATAACTTAATAATAAATTAAATTAAAACATGAAAAAATATTTTATATAGAGAAGTTTTAAAAAATATTATATTAAAATAATTAAAATAAAAATTATAATTAACTAAAAAAAAATTTTATAATAAGCAATTATTAAATTATTTAATATTAATTAGTCAGATAATTAATCAGTTAATATTAGTCAATCAAATAAATAACTAACTATTAATTGATTATTAATGAATTATAACTAACTGTTATTATTCTAGTTTTAATTAAAGGATAATCTAATTGTATAATATGTTACATGTAACAACCATTAGTAGAACTAATAAAATCATCAAATATTATTGGCTACTGAGGGTTATTACAAGTAACATATTGTTACAATTAGATTAATCTTTAATTAAAATATAAAGATATATATTAATAAATAATAATTAAAGTTATTAAATATTTATTTTTATATTAAAATACTTATGTTATATTTTTTAATTAAAAAGTAAAATAAAATTCTTTTAAACTAATCGCAAGATTTTTTTATTTCTGGGGCTTTTTGCCTTTCTTTATGCTTTCCATGCTTTCCTTTCTGTTAAAGGAAGAGGTGGGTTGTAAAAGAATCGATAAATTCTGGCCAATGCCATAAAATACTGACTGTCTTCCATTTGCTTCTGCAAGGTCAAAACCAGTTTCAACCCATTTTGACTTGGCCATCGTTGAACCTGAATTGAATGCTTTCTAGGTAAACGCTTGCCAATCTCTTTTAAATATTTTCCATTGCCTTATAAAATGTAACGTATGTAGAAATAACGCGAATGGCGAATATATTCTGATCCGTTCATCTGCCACAGCAAGCATTTTGGCAAGAAGTTGCGCTTTCCCAAATCAAATTTTGCTTTAATGTTCTTCAAATGCT